TAGCTAGCTAGCTAGCACTCTGCTGCTGCTCTTCTTTGAAGTGCTGTTATCCTGTCGCCGACGCTCAAAGCGATTCCCTGAAAAGAAAATAAAAAGAAAATAAAAGTAAAAAATAAATAAATGAATTAAGTAAGTAAATAAATGAATATACAAATGTAAAATAACTAACTAACTAACTAACTAAATAAATAAATAAATAAAAATAATAAATACATAATTATTAAAATAAAATAAACACACTTCGGCAGCTTAATTTGCTCAGGTAGGGTGTAGAGTTAAACGATATAAAGAAGAGCCAAGAACCCCTAAACCCTAAACCCTAAACCCTAAACCCTAAACCCTAGCCCTTAAAACCCCAAACCCCAAACCCTAAACGCTAACCTCAAACCCTAGACCCAATCGTTACACCCTAAACCATAAACCTCCAAACCGCAAGCCCTAAACCCTAACCCAGACCCTAAACCCTAAACCCTAAACCCTAAACCCTCACTTGTGTGCGGCTGCGAATTCGAATGGAGCCAACGAGCTGCCCCCCAGGCAGTTTTTGGAGACTCAAATTGGCCAGAGCATCTTCAGCTAAAAATAAATAAGTAAAAATAAATAAAAAATAAAAAATATTTATTTATTTATTTATTTGCTTATACTTATATTCTATGTATTTATTTATTTATTTAAAGTACAAGTAAACAAACAATAAATAAACATGAGCAAATAAATGAATAAATGAATAAACAAACAAATAAATAAATAAATAAATAAATAAAAATAAAAAATAAATATAAATAAATAAATTAGAATGCAAATGGCGGAAACTGAAACATCAAAAACTCGAAAAATCAAAAAAGGAGTTTCAAACAAAAAGCAAAAAACCAAAACGAATAAACAAATTAAATAAATCAAATTAATTAAATTAATTAAATCGGATTAAATCAAATTAAATTAAATTAAATTAAATTAAATTAAATAATTAGAAAAATTAAATTAATTAATTTAATTTACCAAAGACAGAAGAAGAGTACAAGTTGACGGAAAAGACGGAAGCAGCATTTGCCAATTCTTTTAAACTTTTCATTTGCTGCAGTGCAGCTTTTGCTGCCAGCAACTCTTCGAAGTCTTCATCTGCTGCTGCTGCTGCTGCTGCTGCTGGGCTGCTGCTGCTGCTGCTGCTGCTGCTGCTGCTGCTGCTCGGAGGCGGAGAACCCACCACCGTCATTTTCGTCTCTTGTAAAATCAACTCCAAAAAGGATATTATCGACCTGCAGCAAAACAAACCTTAAACCCTAAACCCTAAACCCTAAACCCTAAACCCTAAACCCTAAAACCTTAGAAAGCCCTAACCCCTAAACCGTAAATATTTACCTTAAACCCTAGTCCCAAACCTTGACCTTAAACCCAAACCTTAGACCCCAAACCCTAAACCCTAAACCCTAGACCCTAGTCCCAAACCCTAATCCCCCAGCTACAACCACCCCTCCAAAAAAAGCAAAAAAGAGACAAAAACCAACCAAACAAAAACAAAGAAACAAATAAACAAACAAATAAATAGTAAATAAATAAATAAATAAATAAATAATAAACAATAAATAAACAATAAATAAAAAATAATAAACAAACTGACCGCGGGGGCGAGTTGACTTGGAGTTTATTTTCCCACTCGAACTCAAACCACTTTTTTCGAAAAGAAGAAAAAGAAATCCATTTGGGTCGAATGAACGGCAGCACATTGACTGGCAGCTCGGCCAGCAGCACGAACCGCCTGCTGCTGCTGCTGCTGCTGCTGCTGCTGCTGGGCTTCAGCTCCAGAGATACCACTCCAAATATTATTGCCCCTTCTGCACTTTTCAACTTTATTGAACAGTTCATTTTCGTCGACCCGAACGGCGGAAGGCTGAAGGGCAGCGGACTCACCATTATCCGCGCGTCCCCTGCAGCAGCAGCAGCAGCAGCAGCAGCAGCAGCGCAGCAGCAGCAGCAGCAGCAGCGGGAGTGGCAGCGGGAGGGGGAGGCGAGCGGGGAGACGGGGGCTACAGGTGGCTGGCAGCAGAACGAAGCAGCAGCAGCTGCCCATCTACTTCAGTGGCTAGCTAGCTAGCCAGGCGCTACTTAATTGGACAGCTAGCTAGCTATTTAACTGGCTAGCCAGCCAGCTAGCTAGCCATTCAAGTAGCTAGCCAGCCAGCTAGCTAGCCAGCCATTCAAGTAGCTAGCTAGCCAGCTAGCTAGCTGCTCAAATAGCTAGCCAGCCACCCAATTCGCTGGCTAGCTAGCTAGCCACCCAATTAACAAGCTAACTAGCTAGCAACTCAATTGGCTAGCCAGCCAGCCAGCCAGCTAGCTAGCTAGCTAGCCCATCCCAACAGCTAGCTAGCTAGCTAGCTAGCTAGCTAGCTGTTGGGATGGACGTGCCTTGGGCTGCGAGGTCGATGTTGACGTTGTAGAGAACTTCATTTGTTCTGTTGAAGACGAAAAGCTCCAGCAGCAAATCGAGCTGGTTCACATGCAGGAAGGCCTCCACGTATACTTCGTCCTGCAGCAGCAGCAGCAGCAGCAGCAGCAGCAGCAGCAGCAGTAGCAGCAGCAGTGGCGGCAGCGGCAGCAGCGGCGGAAGTGGGGGGAAGGGGAGTGGTGAGGAAGCAGCAGCGGAGAATGGGTACAGAGAGGCCGCAGCAGCAGCAACAACACATTAAAAAAGAGCAGCAGCAGCAGCAGCAGCAGCAGCAAAAGAAGAGCAACAGCAGCAGCAGCTAGTGCGGCAGCAGCTGCCAACCGGAGAGAGAAATTACGATCAGCAAAAAGAAATATTCAGAAAGAGCAATTTATAGAAACAATTAATGGCTTCTTCTTTAAATGCAATCTGCTGCTGCTGCTGCTGCTGCTGTTGCTGCTGCTGCTTACTGCCAGTCCAGTTAGCTGCCGCACTGAATGGAGGCGTTTGTTGAAAAGTGCTGCTTCGTTTAGCGGCGCAGCTTCTCCAACAGCAACAGCAACATCTGGCTGCTGCTGCTGCTGCTGCTGCTGCAGCAGCTCTGGCTGCTGCTGCTGCTGCTGCTGCCACAAACACTCCTCGTCAAACTGCCGCTTCTCCTCAGCATTCTCTCCGGGCCCCACAGGCAGCAGCAAACGAAAAGGTATGGCGGAGTCCACTGCAGCACACCGCTGCAGCAGCAGCAGCAGCAGCAGCAGCAG